TGGAGTTCGGCCGCTTGTTATGACATGTGCTGACCACCAGGGGGCAGCACAGAATAAAGTAGGATCGGCCCTGATCACTGTCCAGGCCTTGGGACCCTACCCATGTGTGAATTTTTTGCACCGGGTTTCTAGTGTTCCATATTCACAATCAATACTCTATGTAAGGAGTCACATGTGTTCGGTACAGTATTAAAGATGGGCAAATGCTGCCTCTTTCCACACCTACCAACCCGTAAAGGTGGTATTGCAGCCTGCGAGTGCCCAGCTTATTGCTCTAAGCTCCACACTGTACCCTGGAAAGAGAAGAGCCTGAAGTGAGGCTTGCCCAGGAGGCCAGGGAGGTGTGGCCTCACACTGAAATCCAGTGGATGCTGTAGGTCCTCAGCTGTGAATGATGCCCCCACCCTGTGGCCCACAGAAGGCCATCATCAGTGACCCAGCTGTGGGACCCCTAGAGCTAGGGTGGCCTGACCACCAAAGTAGATGATGCGATGATTGAGGGGGGCAGGGGACAGCTGGCCCCTGCATTGCTGACTTTAGCAGTAAGCATTCTTGCAAAGGCCATCCATTGGGATCCTGCTCACATCGTTTAAGACTGAGAAAACTGCCTTACAAGTCCCATGAGGACGGGGACCGGCACTTGAATTTGAGTCCTCCACGTCTCACCCACGGATATATTTTCTTTGGCTCCCAACACAAACAAAACAACGGACTTTAAATACGGCCTACACTGTGGACCAGAGCTCACACACTGCCGGGAACTATCCCATACCCATCCTGCTAGGCCTGGCTCTGAAGGTACGCCCTGGTCTATCAGGCCTTCTCCTCAATCACCCTTCCCAGCTCTTTCCTGGAAAGGAGCAGAGGGAGTTACTCTTTTCAGGGGTCCTAAGCCCTAGTCCTAAGCCTGTACTACTTATTCTCTACTATCATAGTATAACCCTATAGAACCATGGAAACCAGGGGTCCACAAATGCCACTTGGAGGAGTCTTCACCTTATGCCACTGGAGATAAACAGTGTAGTGATGCCAAAACGAGATTTTTTCCCATCCTTGCATCTCCGCCGAATATCTACTTCACATAAATGACAAGCACAATCCATTTGGCTTGTGCATCTGAGCTTTTTCCAGCTACCAGACCACTCAAGTGCGCAGAAGATGAAATAATTGGTAGGCTTTTAAATATTGCCTTGTTTCTCATTGACCGTTTTGTGCGGAGTCAAAGGGATGTGCCAGCAATAGCATCGCTTGTGTCCCGCTTGTTACTAATACGGCCGCCAATTAATCCCGACATATGAGTGTGCTGGGTACCCCAAACCTGGTTATTTAGCACCTCGGGGAGCCGGCCCTTGGACGTTTCTATGACATTTTATACAAATCAATCAACATTCCTTTTTTCTAACAGAGCCTTTCACAGGGACCACAGATGAGTCCTGGGTGCAGTGCACACACCCAAGCCCACCGTTTCCCCCAACAGAACTGGGTTTGGTGTGTTGATAATCACCCTTCCAAGCTGACTTTTCAAAAATGTTTATTCTATTGCTTCTGTGCCAAGGGGGAAATCTATCTCAAATGTTAAGACAGACACTCAAGTCCCCGAGAGTTTTCTTGTATTATTGTACATTATAAAATATTACAAGAGGGTGCCTCTCGAGGGAGGTGAACTTTAGAGCTGCCAGACGTAGCTGACTTTCTCCAAATCTGTTACCAATGGGTCCCAAGCTGGTTCTATTCTGAGTAATGACATATGCAGCGGGCAAACGCCCTTCTAAGGTATTTCTGGGGCCTCCAGGCAAATGGTGATTTACCTGGAGACAGCCAGGCAGGCGAAGGAAGGACAGACGGGGAGAACGCGTCTCCTGGAGGCCCTGGGTCAAAGCAGGTGTCCCGACTCAGCACCAGGGACCACGTTCTCAAGGTCTGAGACCCATCTCATCACTTGCTCATCCCCCAATCCAATGGTCGGCAAACTCATAAGTCAATAGAGCCAAATACCAACAGTACAACGATTGACATTTCTTTTGAGAGCCAAATTTTTGAAACTTAAACTTTTTCTAACTCCACTTCTTCAAAATAGACTCGCCCAGGCTGTGGTATTTTGTGGAAGAGCCACACTCAAGGGGCCAAAGAGCCGCATGTGGCTCCCGAGCAGCAGTTTGCCAACCATGGCCCCAATCGATCCCCTGTTCAATCCCCTGGCCTCCAGTGATTCTTTCCACCATCCTTAAACTAAGTCATCCTGAAAAGGTCACCACGCTGCACAAAGTTTTGCTGGCAAACTCTCAGGGCTTCCCCTGCACCCTGTCTCCTAGAATGGTGGTGGGAGGAAACCAGCCCAAACAGGAGCTTTGTGTTTCCTGTCACATGCATCACCATCTTTAGGAAGAACTGGGCCTAGGGGTCCCTCAAAACCAGCTTCTTCCTGCTCATCTTTTCTGCCTCCCCTCCACCCCCTAGCTTTCTTGAGTTATCATTGAGAAATAAGAATTGTAAATAGGCAAGGCATACAATGCATGCTTTTATATACGCATATTACATTGTGAAAGGTTGACCACAATCAGGTTACCATTTGGTGGGTGGTGAGAACAATAGAGATCTACCCTCTGAGCAAATCTCAAGCACAGAATGCAGTATGTGATAATTGTACATTATAAAATATTACAGAGACGGATGCCTATGCTGTCCATCAGGACCCGCCCCCCCGCCCCCATCTCCCCCAACCTTATTCATTCTGTGTAGCTACCTGGAACTTTCCACCCTTTGCCTCGCACACCCCACTTCTCCCTCCCCACCCTCTTGTAACCACCCACCATTCTACTCCCTGCTTCTCAGGACGCTCCTTTTTCAGATTCCATAGGGACCTGGCAGACAAGATGTGAAGTGCAGTAAGCCAAACACAGAAAGACACATGCTGCATGACCTCCTTTTCTAGTTCTCACTTCCTCCTCTCTGTCCATCCCTAATTCAGAGGAGCCCAGATTATCCAAGGCCATAGAATAAGGCCAACGTCTAGGATCTGGGAGCAAGGCTGAGGCACACTGGCTTCAGAGCCAGAAATCCCAGCCCTGCCAGGACACTGCTGTATGAACTTGGGTAAATCACCAGCCTCTCCCTGCCTCGATGTCCCTGTTTGTCAAAGAGACGGATGCCTATCACACCTGACTCACGGGCTGGTAAGGAGTGAAGGGCACAAAGCAGGTGAAATGTTCTGAAAAAGCTAAATACATTCTACGCCTTTGAGTGCTAACACGCCAGTTTTCCCTAGCACAGCACCCTACCCCATTGCACACAACACCAGCATCTGTTTACTGTTGTCAAGGGCCCAAGTAGCCAGTGATGTAGGAGCAGGCACTGCCCGGGATGTTTCTAAAGCACCATTCTGGAACGTTCTCCATGCCCAAGCACTGATGCATGGCCTCGTCTGATCCTCACAGTCCTAGCAGTGAGACCAGCCTCTGGTCTCACAGATGAGGGAGCTGAGGCTAGGAGAGGCCCTGATCCTGGGGAGCATTCTACCCTGTTTCTCCGAAAATAAGACAGTGTCTTATATTAATTTTTTTCTCCCAAAGTTGCGCTAGGTCTTATTTTCAGGGGATGTCTTATTTTTCCATATGCTAGGTCTTATTTTTGGAGGATGTCTTATTTTCGGGGAAACATGGTAGCCAGACTGAGCCTTAGGAGGAGGGAGGGGAAAGAAGGGACGCTGTGCTCCAGTGTGAAGTATGACCATGTGACAGCACGGTGCCTGGCAAACGCCCCCTTCCACACAGGACAGGAGGCAGAAGTCACCAGGCGGTCAGCATCGCCCCAAAGACAGTGAGAGCCCTGAAAACAAGGAGAAGCTCCTGGACCCCAGGCACGGGCCTGTGTCCCACCAGCTCTGCAGGCTCCAGCGAAAGTGGTACCTCGCTGAGCCTGTGTCCTCGAATGAAATGGCAGGACCACAGTAATAGCATCTCCCCGGCAGCCACGGGAGCGTAACATGCAAAGAGGGAAAGCGCGCGAAAAGACTCGATGAGCACATGAATATGTACCAACCATCCCGCCAAACAGCTGAATGCTCTTTACTATGGGAAAATCAATGGGAGGGCAGAATCAGCACCCTGCTTTGACGTGTGTGTGCATGTGTGTGCGTGTGTGTGCGTGTGTGTGGTGTGGTCCTGCCCTGGGAGGTTGGGATTAACCCCAGGGAGGCCTCGGGGCCGTTCCCGCTGGTCTGTGCTGGCAGGGCAGCTGCTCACAGCTCCTCTCACTGTAGAAGACCGAAGACCAGACAAGCCTCAGGGGGCTCCACACTTGAACTAATGCCTCACTGGTAGCTCTGTCTCTGGTTCCCCTTTAGAGACAATTGTATTTTTTAACATATCTTTGTTGATTTCAGAGAGGAAGGGAGAGGGAGAGAGAGAGAGAAACATCAATGATGAGAGTGGGTCATTGATCAACTGCCTCCTGCACTCCCCACCCTGGGGAACAAGCCCATAACCTGGGCATGTGCCCTGACTGGGAATTGAACCATGACCTCCTGGTTTATAAGTCGACACTCAACCACTGAGCCACACCGGATGGGCTAGACACAGTTTTACATCGTTCCGATTAAGCGATGGTGCTGGGGACAAAGTCCAAAACTCCTTCCTTTTCAATATGCTGCTGTTTTGTAGAAAATACAAAATAAGCTTAATACACATGTACACAGCCGATCTAGCTGGACTGCATGAATGAAAACCTTCAGGACCCAGCTGCCCAGCCCTCACACCATATTACAGGTGAGGACACCAAGGGCAAATCCATATGCAGGAGCCTTGGCCGAAGCCACACCCCCTGTGAATGGCAGTCCAAGTCCAGCTTTTGCTCCACTCTATGGCACTTCCCCATCTCCCTGTATCACGGTTAAGAAGCACTTTCTTAAAATTCCAACCTGGGCATCGTCTGCCACCTGGCTCTAAAGAAAATGTGCCTGTGTAGTGCCAGCCATGAGCTCCGACAGTCAGCCCCGCGCTTACCTGTAAGTTTGCACAAGGCGGTAAAACGTGGGTGGGGATCTCGTTCTCAGACCCTGCTGGCCCCAGGGGCTGGTTCTTGACCCGGAAGGCTGTGGTGGTAGTGGCAGTGGTGGTCTGGACCGGGAGGGCTGGCTGCCACACAGTGACATCGGAGCCGTTGCCAAAAGCCTGGATTGCATTTTCTGCAGTAAAACAGGAGGAAATCCAATTTCAAAGTCAGGCAGCCAATGTACCAGACAAGCTACAGAAAGCCAGACAGGCAGCCTAGAAATTCTGAATATAGCACTGGACTTCCCTGAACAAAACCCACCCAGCTGTCTAGCCTACGCGCGTTGAGAGCCAGCCAATGGGTCAGATGTTCAAAAGTCAATTCATTCATTCAACACTGAGCTCCAAGTGCAACCCACACCTATTCCATCCCGACGATGTGCCAGGTCCTTGCTCTGAAATACTCTACTCATTGGGTAAGCCCTTTGAGATCCAGCCTCGGACCTGTTATTTGAGATCCCAAACCCCTGTCCCATCTTCCAAGAAAACCTTTGTGCTCTGTCAAAATCCTATACCCAAAGCAAACTCATTAGGTTTTGTTGTTGTTGTTGTTGCTGTTGTTGTTGTTTTTAGGTATAACATCATTAACTATGGGACTAAGAAGACTCGGTGGCAATGACATTCGTTTGTTAGGCAGTGAAATTGAAGAGCAACAAAATGTGATTCCCCAGCACAGAGCACCTGCTATGAGGCAGGCATTGCTCACAGCACACATGCGACCAGTTTCTGTAGAAGAAAAATCTCCCCCGGACCTCAGCAATAATCTAATGAAAATTTAACTGAGATTATTTTTTCCCCTGTCTGCTCCCAGTCTTCTAAACAAAATCTGCATAATTAGGTAGGAGCGGCCCTGCTTACATGAAAAGTTGAAAATGTAAAACTTTCAAAGCTTATTACAAGTTCATGGGATTAGATTGTTTTTATGGCAAGAGTAAATTGGTTGTATTGTTCCCCCCTCCCCCTCAAATGAATAAGAAACAGTTTAATCAGGTCTTTGGGGATTTGGCCTGGATTTAGGCATTTTTTTTATTTTATTTTTTACTTCATATTCATTGTATAAGAAATCAAACTCTTCCACTTGGGACCTGAATGTGCAAATTGTTAATATCTGACTCTTAGCTGGCATTTTTCGATATACAAGACAGAATAATTTAAGCCTAATGTTCCTCTTAGAAGTGACATTTTGTTCTAAAATTGTTATCCTTTAAGTTCAGAAAATTGGAAACCTGTTTTCTACAGCTTTACATTTCCAAGGCTGCGGGAAACAGCTTCAAATTAATATAAATGCCTTTCCTGCTTCTAGCCATGTCATATGGCCCAGTGAGTGGGCGGAAAGTAGAGAAAGGTATATGGGGACTGGTTTCCTTGGATGACCCAGAGGAACAAAACCTTCCTTTTTCTTCTTAAGACGTGTAGATTCAAGAGACCTTTTCCCCATTCATTGAGACTACCTGTGCTTTTCCCTGAGTTTGCCCTGGCACTTGGAGAGGTTGTTTGTTCACTTGCTCATTCATTCATTCATTCATTCATTCAAATGTCAAGGAAACATCTACAAAGTGCCAGGCACTAGGGATGCTGCAAAGATCAATGACAAAAAAAAAAGACAATGAAAGACAAAAGTCCCTGCCCTCTCGGAGGTCACATTCTGCTTGGGAGGAAACAAGGAGAATATACAATACATTAGGCAGTGAGCGATGCTTGGAGAAGGAAGCAGGTGGGGTGCAGGGCGCCCTGGGTGGAAATGGGGAGATGCAGCTTAGATGCAGGGGTCCAGGGAGGGAAAGGTGGTGTCTAAAGAAAGACTTGAGTGACAGTAACAGTCACCTTCATCTTCAGCTCATTCTTTCATCTCTCTTTCCCCAACATCTGTCATGCACTTTGATATAAAATTAACTGTTTTCCCCACAATAACCGGAAGTCAAACATAGGGCAGAGTGGTGTTCATGACAGGGGAGCCTTGGGAAGAGTTGGTTAATCTGAAGAGAGCAGAACTGGATTACTGCATCGGGGTGGGAATGCACAAGTTCCAATTCCTTCTACTTGAGGGCCTTGGCAGAGACTGAATCCATAGCACTGTGTCTTTGGTAAGCTGTGCCTCTTCTAAACAAAGTATAAATTGAATGAGCATGAAAACTTCTGGCTGGCTTTGCCCCCCGCTGAAGACCAAATGCGCCTATTTTTATTGCAAAGTCATTAGCAGTAAGATATCAGACTATTCTCCCCTTCACCAAAATATTATTACATAAGAACAACTTGAGTTTCTCTGTGAAGGAGCAACTTTCCAGACAGCGTGAGCATGTTTTTCTTACCCTGACCTCCACTGTCATTGCTTTATCTTCACTAAATCTTGTATTCTGCCAGAAGAGCATGCAGGAGGTGAAGACTATCACATAAAATATAAATTATTTGACGTCAAGACCAAACAAGAGGTCCGTAGTGTGCCCAATGTCTTGGCAAATGACTCCCCACTTGAGACTAGTTTTGTGGGCCTGAATTTCACCTACGTTTTCAAAAGCTTGTTTTTGTGTTAAGGATATGGTCACAGCCACGTGACTAAGAAACCCGGTCACTTAGATTTGTCTTTTCTAGAAACAATGAGGAGGTTGGAAAAGCAACACGGGAAAGCCTTTCCAGGGTGCGCATGGCAAGCGGTCAGCCAAAGCCTTAGAAATCAGTCACCGTCCAGAGCGCCTCCTGCAGAAACTGTCCCTGGAGGACAGGGCTCTCAGAGGAGCTGCTGAGCCTTGATTCCTAGAAACTTGGTCCACACCTGCCCCCAGGAACTCATGCATGGTCCCTGACGTTCAGGTGTATGTTCTTGCCCAATGGGCCCTTCAATAGCAGGCACAACCCTAACTCCGTAGGGGACAGGGGGCTGCAGAAGGAACCCAGGCTTTGCATCCTATCTTTGACTTGGATGGTCTATGTGAAGACCAGCCATTTATTTAACTGTGAAGTAGAGATGATAATATCTCTTGTGCAGATTATGGCAAAGAGATCATACATATATTAGACTCCCTCAAGAGTGAGCTGAAGGCACCCAGGAAATGCACTGTGGCCACACAACATGTGGGTGGGTGAGGTACTCAAGCATCTCGGTGGCCAGAAAGGAGACCTGGCCCAGTGCTTTAGCAGTTCGTTTGATGAATGGTGTTCACCAGTATGTTCCTCTCCATCTCTCCTCCTTTGGGAAATACGTTTCCCATTTGCCTAGAGGTTCCTCCTCCGCCCCCACCCATCCAGTGCTCATCTCTACCTCCCGAGAAAACCAACCTCGCGGCAGCCCAGCCAGCTCCTCTCACTCGGAGCTGCTGCTTCTCCTCTGAGCCAACGTGGAGCATCATGGGGGCTATTGATGTTGACATTCTAATTTTTCTCCGAGAGCCCTTCAGGGCCTCCCCCATCTAATCTGTCTGAGCATCTCACACTGTATAGCACACGCAGGTTTTAAGAACCTTTGGAACAGACTCTGTGCTGGTTGCCAAAATCAAAATTTGATCTGCGGGTAGAAGGGTTCCCTCCCACACAATGGGCCCTCGGTTATTAGAATCCCTTGTTCTCTCGAGATTTTGGAGTCTGTCTTGGCAGCACCCAGCTGATCACTTGCTGTGTTCCCTGTTGCATTAGGCGTGTGGACAAAGGATGTGGGGAGAGAGAAGAGAGAAGAGAGAAGAGAGAGAGATGGGGGGAACGGACACAAGAAACACAAGGAACATGGAAGTAGGGCTTGAACTCAGAGAGAAAAACGTGTTTCCTATTTAAAAACAAAACAAACAACAACAACAAAAGAAAACATAAAAAACACATTAAAAAAACAACTTACTAAGACACGTATTGTCCTTGAAGAAATTCAGAAACTTCGAACACTCTTCCAGGTCGTTGCCACTGTTGCTGCAGTCGCACCACGGGGCCACGCTGAGGCTGCTGGAGTCTATGTAGTTGGGGGTCATGACTGTCCCTGAAGGGGTAGAAACCAGGTGTTTTATTCTTGCCTCATGACAAGGACTTCTCTACAGCCCGAAAGGGAACAAATGCTCTCCCAGGGCGGATGCACCGTGGGTAATTGCGAACGCTGCGTTGGCAGAGTGGGAAATTATGTTAAGCAGTGCATTTTCCCTGCAATTTGTCTCAAGCACATGAAATAATTTACACATTTACTTAAAAAATTATAACACAACTCCTTGAGCTGCATTTAGGGCCGTTTTCCCTTTTTTTTTTTTTCTCCCCTGCGCAAATGGTATGGATGTCTTGGAGTAGGAGAGAATTAACTTTGAATGCATGAGTTGCCAAATCCCTTGCATTTTCTTGAGACTGCCATTAATCTCCATAAACAGAGAGAACTGGCTTTATGTATCTTAAAAATCCTTTTAGGACGTTGAATCTACTTCCCTAGGCAGCAAATGGCTTCCTCGGAGAAACCAGGGGAGCTTCGAAGATCTTCACAGATTTCCTGACTATACCATGCGACGAGGCCTCTGCTCACCAGATGCCCTTGGATTGAAATAAAGTCTTTCAAACTGTACAGGAACTGGCAGCCTACAAGTGGAGCTTCTCAGGCAGTGGTTGGCAAACTGCGGCTCGAGAGCCACATTCGGCTGAGGGCCCATTGAGTGTAGCTCTTCCACAAAATACCACAGCCTGGGCGAGTCTAATTTGAAGAAGTGGCGTTAGAAGAAGTTTAAAAAATGTGGCTCTCTAAAGAAATTTCAATCGTTGTCCTGTTGATATTTGGCTCTGGTGACTAATGAGTTTGCCGACTAATACTCTAAGCTGATGGCTCCTACAGCATTGTCTCAACAGTCCTCAAAGTCCTAACGGAAGTACTGGGTGGTCTCTCTTGCCCACATCTTCCTGTGCGCATGGTTTTTCTGGTGAGCTCTGGGCTGGCACAAATAAACAGTGCATTTCAATTTAATACAACCCGAATGCCTTCTCCTGGGTGGTTCACGCCAGGCGATGCCAACTCATGCCAAGAAGCCCTCTGTTTTTATATATTTTGTGGAAATAAGAAGTGGTCAGTGATCCCCAGGATATATTTGGTTCACAAACAGAAAAAAAAAAAAAATTTTTTTTTTCTTTTAAGCTCTTTTGGGTCCAGAGTACATCTTCTCTGCCTTACATTCCTCACTGACCTGAACTAAATTAGGTGCCATTATACCTTGAGATGAGAACTTCAACCCACAACTGAGAGGGAGCTCCTGACTTTGGGTGAGAGAGGAACTGAGCCAAGAGGTTGACATGTACCTACTAAGCGCGCCTGGCACACAGTGGGTCCCTGACACATGGAAAAAGCTGGGGCCAGCTTTGTCCTCAACGAAGTTAGAGTGCAATGACCGTGGAAGGAGGGATCCAGACCCAACAGAGAAATAGATTTTGGTCTGCAGAATGTACTGCCTCCACTGATTATTCCCTTAAGACAGCGGTTAGCAAACCGCGGCTCTCGAGCCCCATGCGGCTCTTTGGCCCCTTGAGTGTGGCTCTTCCACAAAATACCACGGCCTGGGTGAGTCTATTTTGAAGAAGTGGTGTTAGAAGAAGTTTAAGTTTCAAAAATGTGGCTCTCAAAAGAAATGTCAATCGTTGTACTGTTGATATTTGGCTCTGTGGACTAGCGAGTTTGCCGACCACTGCCTCCTCAGGCATGTAACAGACTGCCTCGCCATCCAAGGCGGATTCCACAAGCACGTGTGCCTGGAGGGATGGGACTGGGTGTTAACAGCAATGACACCTGGGAGTGGACTTGTATGTAGCTCCTTAAAACTGTCTCCTTTGGGCTTCTCTGTTTGTTTCTTTACTTTTTACAATGAGCATGCCTTAATTACTTCTGTTATTTCTTAAACCTATAATGCCTTAGTTGATATGTCATCCCTCCTAGGGACTAATTTAAAAAAGAAGAGAATGCCAATTTGGAACACTGCCTTAAGGAAATTATACACATTGAACATTTCCATAAACGTGATCAACAACCCAACAGAGCCCAGGTATCATATCCTTTCAAAAAAGTGGGGCCGGGCCTTAGCCAGTTTAGCTCAATGGATAGAGCATCAGCCTACAGACTGAAGGGTCCTGGGTTCGATTCTCGTCAAGAGCATATGCCCAGGTTGCTGGTTCTATCCCCAGTTGGGGGCGAGCAGGAGGGGACACGTGTGCAGACACCTGTAATACCCGTACCCCTGCGTAAGTCCCATTGTCGATTTTCCCATGGCTCTTGATGAGGACACGCTGGTGACAAAGAATTTGGTCTGTGCTGCTGGGCTGGGGGGAGGGAGGGCGAGGGGAGTTCCTTCTGCCTGGTGACGTGCGCGATACTGGCACACACACACACCCTGGCTGGGCCATCGTGCTCCTGACAGCCGCAGTCTCCCTCCCCCTCCCGGCCTGCACTGTGTGTTCCTTCCCAAATGTCAATCCTGAAGCAGCCCTGTCACCCGGGCTGCCCAGGCCCTGTTCCCTGGAGCAGCCACCTGCCACGCCAGCCCAGGGGCACACAGCTGCCTCCGGCTGGCTCTCTGCCAACCCACCGCTGCCTGCTCAGTCGCCCTGGTCTCCTGGGCACCAAGCACCTGGTCTGCTCGCGCCTCAGGTCTGGAAAGACAGAAAGGACCGTTCCTGCTGCTGAGTCTGTTCGCAGGGAAAACAGAGAGGCTCAGTGACCCTGCCCTGCAGGAGCCGCATCAGCAGCTGTGAATGGCGATCAGGAGCATCAGGGCTTTCTCTCCAAAGGGCCCCTTCGGGGGCACAGCCTTTTGGATTTCCCCAGAAGGAACCACGTCCACATTCCCTTTCTCCAAAGTCCCCGATTCCGTTTCCTTGGCTTGACACGCTCTCCTCTCCCCTACGCAGGCTTTTCCGTACTCTGGTTCCACATGGCGGGTTCTCCCACTGCACTGCTGTTTGCCGGCTCTTTAACAGCCCTGCTCCCTGCCTTTGCCTTTGCGAGCCCATTAGCCTCCTTTTTGTCTCTCTCTCTTTTTTTAACAGGCAAGTCCTAGAGGCCTGACATCAACACCCCAGCACAGATGGTCCCTGGAGCTTGTGGCTCTCACAGGCCATGGCGGCCACAGCGGGAAGCGTCCCTGCGTGTTTGTAAACCGGCCTCTCCCCGCATCTTACCAATGAGCCCCGAGTAGGCGAGCAGGCAGTCGGCATAGTTTTCTTTCAGGCAGCTGCTGGCAGATCTGGACTCCGGCTGGCAGTTGGTGAAAAAATCCGCGAGGCGAGATCTGGGTTAGGAAGAGACACGGGGGAGGATTAAAACAGCCTGAGCCTTGCCTTGCCTGCCTGTGTGACCCAGTGGCTGAGCATTGACCTATGAACCAGGAGGTCAGGGTCGATTGCGGTTCAGGGCACAGGCCCGAGTTTCAGGTTCATTCCCCAGTGTGGGGCGTGCAGGAGGCAGCTGATCTATGATGCTCTCTCATCACTGATGTCTCTCTCTCTCTCTCTCTCTCTCTCTCCACCTCCCTCTCTGAAATCAATAATTATATATTTATGATATATATAATATTATATATATAATATATACAATATATATTATATATATAATATTATATATATATATAACTTATTTATTTTATTGATTTTTTACAGAGAGGAAGGGAGAGGGATAGAGAGCCAGAAACATTGATGAGAGAGAAACATCTATCAGCTGCCTCCTGTACTCCCCCCAACCCCCTTGCCCACCTGGGCGGCGGTGGCTTATTTGTGAGAATCTTTGGGGCCCACAACTGGAGAAACCAAGATGCACTGCAGTTTCCATTCAATATTTATTTCTAACGCGACTCGTGTGCATCTTGAGGAAATCTGCTTCCCTACAGCCTCACCGGAGATGCACGCTGGGAAATATTTACTGTACACACAATCCTGTCCCTGGTGTCCAAACAGCTCCTGCCGCCCATCTGTTCCCGAAATTCCCACTGGCGCTAAACCTCCAGGGATCCGTCCTGTAAGTCATCGCTCACTCACCAGGGGCAGTGCTTCTTCCGGCCACGTGGCCAGGGGGAGAGCTTGCCTTCTGCAACTGAAGGGGAAGGCAGAGGGATGCTCCCTGAGGCGGGGGGGCGGGGAGGGGGGCGGTCTGCTATAGGTGGAGGTGATGCTGGGGGGAGTGGGGAGGAGGGAGGGAGAAGAAGGTGGGTGCCTACTAATGAAAATGCAGCATGTGTGCAATCTAGAACTCCCCGGGGGCCAGCGAGTCCCCCCCAATGTGCTGGGTGCGGGTGAAGTCGTAGAGACTCTGGTGTGGAGGAGGAGAGAGGGGCGAGAGGCCGCTTTGTGACCGACTGGCTGTTTTGCAGTCTGAAGAGGATATTGTTGGAGAAGCGGCCTGCGAGCTGGGCCCTCTGAGGTCATCTGAGCAGACAACAGCCCTGTCTCACGGGAAGTGCACAATGGGCCGCCAGAGGAGCTACATTCTCGGACGATGACGGCCCACAATGAGCGATTGTCTCAGCTTTCTTCTCCTGCGCTCCCCTGCGTGGGCAGCCCACACATCCGGCGCTGCTTTCACGTCTTTCCACCCAGGCAACCGTGTGCACTCGGCGTCTTTGTACAAGCACACCGAGCGAGGTAGGCAGCGGGGTGGTCACCGAGGTGTGTCCCAGGCCTGCAGGAGGCACATGTGCGTCGCTTCGGCACAGGCATGGCCTCAAGCAGCAGGGGGTGGAAAGGTTCCCAGCACAGTGTTCCTGGAGACCCGCCTCTCCTCCTCGGACCCTTGTCAACAAGGCGTGTCTGCCTCCCCCTCCCACCCACCTGTGCTCATCTGGGCGCTCCGTCTGTTGTGGGCCCAGATCCATCGCTGTGAACCCCCGGGGTGGGTGCTGGAGCTCGGCTTCATTGTCTTGCCCAGCCCCTGACCCTCTCTGGGGGCCCTGTTCTGTGGTTTCCCAGCAGGGCCACGTGCAGAAGCCAAGGGACTGGACAAAACCCTCCATCTGAGACCTGGGCACGCAGGTCTGTCCTGCCTCTAACTGAACACACTGGAGCGCACAGAGCCCTGCCGCTTCCTGCAGCCTGGTTCAAGGATTTATTTCTCCGAGGAAATCCCCCGAGGTGGTCCCGGCTCACCCAGCTGGCTCCCACAGCATCCAGCTCGGACGGATGGGGTGTTAATTTCCCAAGTATTTTCCTGGTCATGAAAGTTAATGACCTCGCCATCCCCGGCTTCTAACTTTGCAAAAGCCAACAGCGGGGCAGGCGGCTCTGGCTCCTGCTCAGCACACCACCCGATCGATCGATTGGCTCTCTGACCTGGCAGCCCCACCCGGGGGGCCCCACCCCCACCCGGACGGATGAAAGGTCGCCCCGTCTACGTGTCCCCCGTTTCTCGTGGTCTCTCGAGGAGACTGTTATTCACCGAACAGCCCCGTGATGTGGATGACTGTCCCCGAGCGCGAGGCCACTGCCACCAGACTCATTTCGCTTAACAACCTCGGAATTGACTCACAATCGGACTCTGGAACGAAAGGCTAATTGAGTCAGTCAGCTGCACCGGGCACAGGCCCGATCCAGAGGATAAAGCGGTACGTACCGCTCCGAGCAGAAAGCCGGGCAGTGCTGGAGAGAGAGGATCATCAGCACAGATCCTGGCGCTCAGACAGACAGACAAGGCCAGCAGAGGGGAGGGGAGTTTCAAAGTAACGGTGAGAGCAGGCAGCTTCGCTAAAACACTGCCATGCCCACGGTTCCTCCCCATTGGACCTGGCTGCCCAGGGCCTTTCTCTTTGGAGACAGGATCATAATATAGGCTCGCATGTTACAGAGAGAAAAACGGAAGTAAGAAGACACAGCGGAGTGATGGAGCCCGCTCACTGCTGGCCGGCGGGTACATTTTGAGGAATTCCATAAGGAATCGCAGTGGTGGCTTGTCTGCGGCCTCGGTGGGAATATTTACACCAGAGTCATCAGCACACACCACAAACGAGGATTTGTGCTGTTCTGGGAGAAGGGTTTTTAAATAGATACCAGCTCAACCCTTTTTAAGAACCTGTATGTGATACTGTCAATCCCACCCTAGAACACGTGTCATGGCTGGGCAGTCCGTTCCTGCCCTGGCTGGACGGATGTCGGCTCCCATCCTCAGACACCTTTGGCCCAAAGGAAATGGGGAAGCTCCAATTCGCTTCCGGCTTCCAGTACCTTCCAAAGAATGGAAACAGGCCTCCCCCAGAGGCACTTCTTTCCCTTACCGCTCTTCCTTCACAGTTCTCTGAAATCTCCTTTTCTTTCTCCTGTTTTTACGTTTTTTAAAGTTTATTGGGGTGACATTGATTAACAGGGTCATACAGGTTTCAGGTAACATTTTTGTAATATTCCTGTGTTATAAAATCTCTATACTGCACTACCTGCCCCCACCCTGAAATCTCTTAAAGCAACAGTTCCACATATGGACAAAGCAGCTGAATTTGTGTCCGTTCCATTGATGGAATGATGTGTCAAGTGTTGTGATCTAATGATAAGCTCCCTGTCCCTGAACTCCAATAACTCACAGTCTAGAAGCTGAGAGGAACATGGAGAAAGAGTATAATGATATGGTGGCTAGCTCTTGATAAAAAAAAAAAAAGAAAAAAAAAAGAAAAAAAAAGTAAAGGCTACTAATAAAAATGCTAACGTGAATGAAGTACTAAGTATATGCCAGGTATGTATTTACACACTTTAGATTTTTTTCCAAACAACTCTAACAAGGTAGGGACTATTGTTTCACTCCCCTAATTTTATAGATAAGAAAATCAGGGCCTAGCAAGTTGAGACCAGAGCAGGGGCGGGGAACGTATAAGGCCTGAGCAATCACTTGGTCTGGCCCTGCGTTAATTAAATGTCTGACTAAATATAGCAGGCTAATTTTTAAGTTGGTAATTCTGTATGGCCCGAGAGGATGTTATAAATACCCAAATGGCCACTGGCAGAAAGCAAGGTCCCTACCCCTGGACTAGAGAAAAAGAGTGAGTCGTAGGAAGCGGGATTTAAAATGTTTTCTTTTTAACTGATTTTTAGAGAAAATGGAAGGGAGAAGGCGAAAGGAAACATCCATGTGAGAGTGAAACACAGATGGATTGCCTCCTGCATGCTCCCTGCCTGGGATGGAGCCGGTAACCCGGGCGTGTGAACAGAACCGGTGCACGGGACAGTGCCCGACCAACTGAGTCACAATGGCCAGGGTAGAAGCGGGATTTAAAACCACACATTCTGACGCCCACAACTTAAGCTTACAATATGCCTCAGCTACGCAAGCTGGCTTCAGAGAGGCCGGGGCACTGGGACCGTGACATGGAGGATGTGTAAGTTCTATGGGGCCACGGAGGAGAAAGGAACTCCAGGCAGAAGGAAGAGGCATAGGATTAAGTGACCAGACTCATAACAGTCTCAGGGTAACCATAACGTGGTGATTGTATGTGCCAGGCGCTGATCTAAGAGCTGTCTTCACACATCTGATTCTCACCACAGCCTTAGTAAGTGACACCATGAGCACCATTTTACAGATGAAGAAACTGAGGCAAAGAGGGGCTAAGTAACTATTTGGGTAGAGCTGGAATGTGACCCTATTTAACCTGATTACAGAGCCGGGAATCCTAGTCCATCACCACCTTTCACACAAGCACCCTCCAGAAAATAGTCCGTCATGTGCTGGGGATGGCAGGGCCACAGGGGGCAAACACTGAGTGATGGGAGATGGCCCCCGCCGGGTGAGGCTGCAAAGAACCTTGAATGGCTGACCCAAGAGTTGGGACTTGACTTGAAAAGCAGTGGAAGCCACTGGAGGATTTTACACGGAGAAGCAAGGAGATCTGATTTGCATATGGAGAAGCCTCTTTCATCTCTCCATGGTTCAGCAAAGACCAACTCAGGACCTATTCCGAGCCATCACTGTTCCACCAGCGATGGGAGGGCAGGGAACTGGCCCAAGACGGGCTACTTAGGAGGCTGCCGCCAGCGGTGAACGGAAGGGAAGAGCTGAGGGCCGAAGGGGAGGAAGAAAGGGTGCACTGAGGGGTGGGCATCGCTCAAACAGAAGTCAAGACTGGAAGGGGGGTGGGGGGCAGAATCAGAGCATGGACACCTCATCAGACAGCGGTGCTGTGGGGCAGACACGGAGGACAGGTAGAAGGCTGGGGTGGAATCGTGCTGTTCACAGTGCTGTGGGGAGCCACCTGTCTAGTTCTTGTTAGGACCCAGATCTTCACCTGTCCAATCAGCAACCAGGGCTTGAGCACCAGCCATCCCC